AGTAAAATAATGATAAGAAAAATAATGAATAACGAAGAAAGTGATGCCCAACGCAATTGCTCACCCCCCGCCGACCGATACTCAGAGAGTTCCCGAGCAGCGATCGCTGCTGCCTGGCCACCCCCCCCCAAGTTTATATACTGAGCATGACATCATATGGTATGGAATAGCCCTTGGGGCAGTTTGGATCAACTCTTCTGGCTGTGCCCCCTCCCAGTTTCTTGTGCGCCTGGCAGAGCCTGGGAAGCTGAAAAGTCCTTGACTGGCATAAGCAGTACTCAGCAACAACTAAAAACATCAGCGTGTTATCAACATTCTTCTCATCCTAAATCCAAAACACAGCACTATGCCTGCTGCTAGGAAGAAAATTAACTCTATCCCAGCCGAAACCAGGACAGTATGGTTGTAGCGAAGCATTCGTTCATGGGTGGGGGGCATGGCAGAGCAAGAGGGGGCGGTGCCTCTCCAGCTCGTTCCTGGGTTTGTTCCCAGAGCAGCACCATTTCTAGAGAGCTGTGTTAGAACGTCACCGTTGGATCAGATGAGAACATTTGTATGATATGTACGGTATCTGCTTTGTTCGTAAAGTCGGCCCAGTGCTAGAACTGTTCTTCACGTGAACTGGGATAATTTGAGTAACAATATTTGCCTTGGTGACCCTAACTACTAGGCTATTAAGGAAAAAAAAAAAGGGGGGGGGGGGGGGGAGGTTCAGGGTGGTATCTCATTTTTTTGCCCTACTCCTTTAGCTTGGACAGTCTCCAGTTTGGCTCAGACAACCTTTGAGATTTCAGCTTTACTCTTTTCTGTTCTAATGCTGCTTTCTGAGCATAGCTTTCTTGTCATACAGCATATGTTAGGTCGATGTTTGCAACAAGCGAGCTACCAAAAACAGCTCTGCATTTTTACTGGAAGCACCTGCTATCTATCAGCAAGTAATCCAGTTTCTGACAGCAGACAGAAGTAGATAAATCCCTATTTGTTGGAGAACTGCTTTTGCCAAATAGTGCTGCTAAATTTTTTTTTATATATGAGAGTCCATTCATCTTTATGTAGTATTGCGTTTTGCTTTATGAGGAGCCAATTCTACGTGTCTTACTCTAGTGAGTATGCCTGGTTACCGCAAAAGGACTATTTATCCTCTAAGTCAATCAGAGTTTACATTTTAACCGTTATAATTGGGAGGCACGGTAAAGAGAGAGGAAGTTGGGGCATGCTACTTATCTTCATAAAGAATCCCGCCATCCTGAAAAATCAAATTACCTTTTTTTGAGTAAGTAATCTCACATAAGCAGATGCAGCGATTCCTGCAAACAAAGTGCAGAGCTTTGTTATTAGGCAAAATTAAGAACTGAAAGTTTATGGCAATAATCTGCCGTAAAGCAATGCAAATAAATAAAGCAAACACTAAAGCAATGAAAAAAATCTGTTTTTCTGGACTATGTCACAAAGACAAAAACATCTTGATGGGTTATATACAGCATTCAAACTATTGTATTCGCTGTTATACTGCAACCACATTTTTACTTTTTAGAATTGTGTGTAATTTCATTTCTGATCTGCCTTGGGCTATTTTGTGGTGTTGGGGGCTATTTATTTCTCTCTGTGTATTGTTTCTCTTGCTTTTCTCAATGTACTTGTCCTCAGAGTCATTAGCCAGACTGATGTTGATTCCTTTACCAATTTCTTGTAGAAATGTTTCCTTTGTAAATGCTAACTTCTATTTGTGCCTCTGGGCAGTTGAGTGTGCAAAACTGATCCTAGTCCTGCACATGATCCCTTGAAACTAGGTTGCTTTTTCCGTACCCACTTCAGAATCCCACTCCTCTGGAACCCAGATCTCTCTTCTTTTCACTTAAAATGGGAGTGGAGAGAGAAAGCATTGAAAAAGAGATGTCGAGAAAGAGCGCTTCATTTCACCAGCAATTCTGGGTATTTAGTACTACCCGTGAGCATGATCATAGAATCACGGAATGGTTTGGGTTGGAAGGGACCTTAAAGACCATCTAGTTCCAACGCCCCTGCCATGGGCAGGGACACCTTCCACTAGACCAGGTCGCTCAAAGCCCCGGCCAACCTGGCATTGAACGCTTCCAGGGGTTGGGGCATCCACAACTTCTCTGGGCAACCTGTGCCAGTCCCTCACCACCCTGACAGTGAAGAATTTCATAGAATCATAGAATGCTTTGGGTTGGAAGGGACCTTTAGAGGTCACCCAGCCCAACCCCCTGCAGTGAGCAGGGACAGCTTCAACTAGATCAGGGTGCTCAGAGCCCCGTCCAACCTGACCTTGAATGTTGCCAGGGATGGGGCCTCTACCACCTCTCTGGGCAACCTGTGCCAGTGCTTGACCACCCTCATTGTAAAAAACTTCTTTCTAATGTCTAGTCTAAATCTATTCTTCTTTAGTTTAAATCCGTTATTCCTTGTCCTGTCACAACAGGCCTTGTTAAAAAGACTCTCCCCATCTTTCCTGTAGGCCCCCTTTAGGTATTGGAAGGCTGCAATAAGGTCTCCTCGCAGCCTTCTCCTCTCCAGGCTGAACAACCCCAACTCTCTCAGCCTGGCCTCATAGGAGAGGGGCTCCAGCCCTTGGATCATTTTGGTGGCCTCCTCTGGACCCACCCCAACAGGTCCATGTCCTCTTGTGCTGAGGGCCCCAGAGCTGGACGCAGTGCTCCAGATGAGGTCTCACCAGAGCAGAGTAGAGGGGCAGAAACACCTCCCTATTTCTTCCTTATATTCTTCCTTATATCTAGTCTAAATCTCCCCTCTTTTGGTTTAAAGCCACTACCCCTTGTCCTATCACTACATGCCCTTGTAAAAAGTCCCTCTCCAGCTTTCTTGTAGACCCCACTTCAGGTACCGGAAGGCTGCTGTAAGGTCTCCGCGGAGCCTTCTCCTCTCCCGGCTGAACATACATGGCTGATACCTCAGCCATAGTTAGATACCCGTGAAAGGGAAATTTTGAAGAGATTAGTGACTTTACAAAGCTTGTGATGTCTTTCTCTACTTGAACAAACCTCCTAGAAAAGGTGACTGACACGTCCCTGCACAGTCGCTCCTCCCTAGTCCCCACTGGCAGAGCAAAAGCAGCCGCGCTCTGCAGGCCAGAGATCAAATTCCCTTATGGACCACGTCTGCTAATTATACCCCACTTACGGACATCTCAGGTTTAAAAAGCTCTTAGCAAATTCCCATGTTGGAATAACTGTTACTTTCCTTAACCAGATAGATAGGATTAATTAATTTTTTATTACATTTTTCTTGAACTCAAGACATTTTTCCATGCCCTCCGTAATAAAGTAATAGAGCAATAAGTAATGGACTCATCATCACTTAAACCAATTAAACTACTCTTTGCTTTGCTGCCCTGTGTTTTAAATACACGTCAGTCAGGTGTCTTATCCCTTCAGACAATACGTAACTAATGGAACAATCCTGCAGAATTCAGAAGGGGAGAAAGCAACAGAGAGCTGCAGAGATTGATCCAGAGGTTGCCTGCAAAGACTTTAAAAAGCAGGAACCTGAAGCTCAGTGGACCTTTCCTTTAAAGTGCCTTCATTGCTGGTTTGCAGACTCTCCACCGCCTACCTCTATGCCTTTTATATCTCCTTTTATAGAGTAGCTTGTATGGGAATGGCAGGCAGTGGTGTCCTCCGGTCTTCAGCCAGCCCCACCGCCTGCCCCATAGCCAACCACGTGCTGAAGCTCCAGATGTATCTGTGTATTGAGATTATGGTCCCGGAGCTGATGTCTAACGCTTGCCCTCATACAATCTTCATATCGAAGTTAATTTTTGGATCCTGCCCAGGGAATAGATGAGCACAGGGCTTTTCCTTGGCTTTGATTGACCTGCTGCTAAAAGGAGGTATCTCCTCCAATATTTTATCTATTCAGTAGATCTCTGTAGTGGCATTATAATTAGCTGTTAAACTCTATCATACGGTTCATAAAAAAGACATACAGACATCATTATTCAGTTGTGGGGGATTTTGCCATGAGGATATGAATAAATATTTAAAAGGCTGTGCTCCTGGCTTTGGGTCATGACATCAGCCTAATCCAGAGCTAAAATCTGCCATTTTTCTTCTTTTTTTTTTCGCTTGAGCCCAGTAAATCTGAACTCTTCACATTAAGCCCTTGCTGTTGATATTTTATAGGAGATCTCACCTTTTCATCACTGCTTTGTGATGAAGCACTTGAGGTTCCTAATACTTATTCTGAAGGCGTGAGAATCACTCCATGGTATT